CCCCAAAACCCCAAAACCCCAAAACCCCAAAACCCCAAAACCCCTTGTACTTGAATGGGGATTGAACTATCTAATAAGATCATTGCTTATTTGGACTTGCATCATCCTCCCTTCTTTTTCTTCTTGCCTCCTTCGTCATAAGTAGATAATCTGATGCCGCCATAGCCGCCAGATGCGATCTCTCCAAGGTCAAGGTCATCATCTTCGCCTGCAACTCCGAGATTGCTGGAATTATTTTTAAGCTTGGAAGGCTTCTTTCTCTTACTTTCTCTCTTCTTCTCCTCTTTTTTATTTTTCCTTAAGACTGCTTTGGTAATCGCTGTGAAGATTTCTTCGATTCCCCTTCCTGTCTTAGCACTTGTATCAAAATGAGCTCCTTTGATAGATGCAGCATATTCTTCAGCATCTTCTAAAACAATCTGTCGGTTTGGTAAGTCATATTTGTTACCAGCAATAGCAATTGGAGTGTCCTCTGGGAGATATAGTCGGAGTTCCTCTACCCAGGTCTGGACTTTATCGAAGGAATCTTTATCGGTAATGTCATAGACAAGAATAGCAGCCATTGCATCTCTGTAATATACATTATTCAGAGCATGATACTCTTCCTGACCTGCTGTATCCCATATGAATAACTTGACTTTCCTGTCATCTATTTCAATATTCTTCTCAAGATTGGATGCATCTGTTGTGGAGATCTGTCCTTCGTCGAATACATTCTTTCAATATCTGAGCATTATTGAAGTTTTGCCAACTCTCGACTCTCCAAGTACGACTATAAATATTAATTTATCCCGATTCCTTTTAGAACAAATATAGCAAGAATGTTCTAGAAATGGATCCCAAATTTTAGGAAGAATCCTTAGTATTTAGGCAAGGGAATCTTTGTCTATTCATAACACACTTGTGGCACGTATTTACAGGATTTCTTTTAAATAGTAAAGCTGATAAAATAGATAAAACAAACATCTAAGTCACTTATGCAGCTCTAATCGGACACCCATGAGTCCAAGGTGTAGATAATGCACTATAATCTTACCGATCTTAAATGACATAGGCTTGGAGACACCACCCTTAGCCTTAGATGACTTCTTATGAGTCTTTCTCTCCTCCTTGGATTTCTTCTTTGTTGACATTAAAAAATAATTATATAAAGATAGTATTGCAATCATATTTTTACTTAACGGGGTTTTGGGGTTTTGGGGTTTTGGGGTTTTGGGGTTTTGGGG